TTTTCCGCCCTCGGGAGCCCGCGGTGGGGGGATGGGCCCCGAGGCCGCTCACCCCCGGCCCCGGTGCTCCCTGTTTCCGGAGCGGGAGGCACTGGACTTGCGGTCGGGGGAGCTTATGCCGTATTTCCACGTGGGGCTGCACCTGTACGTAGTCTGGCGGGGGTCCACTCCCCTTCCCCTTTAAAGTTCAATTGCAGAGGGAAACGTGCAGTTGTCGCCGTTTCCGCAGAGTACTGACTGACGGGTATTGACAGAACACTGATTTAGGCGGCAGACTACTGACCCCTTTTCGGACAGAGGTGGCTGGATGCCGATCAAATACACGGTAGGATCTGGGAGGGGCCGAGATGGAAACAGCCAGAATTCTCAGACCTCTGGAAGGTTGCAGTTGTCTCCCAGGAAAAATGCACAACGTGAGAGCTTTGAGTTCCCTTTTCTTTGGGGACTTACTGAGGAGTAAGCATGGGGGGCCCTCAGATAGTAGCTCCGAAGAACTGCTCTGAAAAGGAGGGGGGGTGGGGGCGGTCAGTATAGACACGGTTGTGGGAAGAGTGTGCGGGCAGTTAAGCACACACCTCAGCAGAAGGTGCTGCTAGTCACAAGCAGCAGGTGTCTAGTTACCGGTTTCAGCTCTTTTCTAAGTACGGGAAGATGCAAGAGTTTGGGTTCATAAAATGTCTCTCCTGAAAGTGTCTAACTATCTGAAGTCCTGTTCTGACAGTTTTCCCAGAGCACAGAGTGCGTCATTCCAGCTCTCCACCCCAAACTCGTTTCAGGGTGTTTGAAGGTCGGTTGGCGACTGCAGTGGCTAGTGATTTCATTCTTGTAGAATCAGATGGCAAACAAGGTTTTAATTGTCACAATTCAGTGGAGAAATGTAAAAGATATACACAGTCTGTTAAAAGAGAGACAACAGGCCACGAATGGAGGCCCTTGTGCTCAGCCCACATCGTCACCAAACTGCAACTCACTACCGAACCTTATTCCCCCTTCAATCTCTGCCAGGAATATAATCTTACAGTCAGTCTGGAATTTCCTGGTCAGCACTAGTGAGGTCATCAGCCTGCGACCCCTTCCATCCCCAAAGAAAAATGAGGTAATCTGCTCTTTCCTTATTCCCACCCTCTCTCTGCCTTTAAGTCTTCCACTCGTACAGCTCCTCAGAGCTCCTTTCTCCTTGTTGGGTGGGATGCCGACTGAGTTATGAATTACTGAATAAAGCAAGTTAGATTTAAAAAAATTTTTTTGAATTTAAATTTAATTTCTTATTGAAGCATAGTTGATTTACCAATTACATTTTTTAATTCACTCCGTTGAATTTTGTTTTTTAACAATCCTTGTGGAGCCCAGTGTAAGATCAGGAAGGAAGCTAGTGAACAAAGATCCTTTAAAAACCCACTTTAATTCACATAACTAGAATGCTGAAGGTAGGTGGTCTTATTTGTACCTTTTTTTTTTCCACCATTCTTGTCCTGAATGTGAGTGCTGAGAATTTTGTGGACTCTCAACAATGTTAAATTAATGCTGAATTATGAAAATCAGAGTAATGTGACTCACGTTTCACATACAAGTGTACATTTGTGTCAGGTTTTTAAGTATTTGGTTGTGCTGTTAATAGAAAAAAAACTATCTTTAGCTCTTACTATGAACACACACTTTCCAAATCACTAGCATGTGGATTTTTCTAGGCTGTACCATGCAGAGTTCTACCACTGGGTTCCGTCCTCTTTTAGCAAGGAGGACAACTCCTCTGGTGTATCTCAGTCACCCTCTCCTCTCTCCTAATCTAAATGCTACCTTTCCTGCAAGGTTTATGCAAGCCCTACATCCTCTAAGGAACCTTAGTGTTCTAATTAATTGATCTCTCTCTTCCCTGGGCTAGGGAATAAAATAATCATAATAATTGAAAAAAAGACAAAATTATCATTATTTTTAGATGATGATGGTACAAAGGAAAAATTTAACAAAAGCAATTTTAAAATTACTAACCAAAAATTCAGCAATATAACCAATCACACAATTTGTAAATAAATATACAAAAATGAATGGTTTTTCTAGCTACAGATAATAGCTGGTTAGAATATCTGATGGAAGAAAAAATATTCACAATTAAAGTTTTAAAATATATATCTAGGCAAAACTTAACAAGAATGTACCAGACCTATATCAGGAAAAGTATAAAGCTCCCAAGGACCAGAAAAGACAAATAATTGAATAGGATGATGCAATTTTTTAAGGTTATCAATTTGCTCAGAATCAATCTACCAATACTCCCAATTAAGGAGGGGAGAGCATAGCTCAGTGGTAGAGCGCATGCTTAGCATGCACCAAGTCCTGGGTTCAATCCCAAGTTCCTCTGTTAAAAAACAAAAATTAAATAAATAAACCTAATTAGCTTCACCCCCCAAAATAAAAATAAATATACTCTCAATTAAAAGCCCAGTAACTTACACTTTAATAAAAATTATTTTTAATATCCCAATAAGATTTTAAAATTTTATCAAATAGTTGTAAAATTCATTAACATGGGAGAATAAATATGGAAGAGTATCCTGGAATATTAAAAAGGAAACAGAGTAATTGGAGGTACCACCCCTACCAAATGGATGACATTGAAGGGGATCAGCATACACTACCCCGCATATGCCATTTGGCATATGGATTAAGGACACTGAGACTCAGTAGACGCAGAAAGACACCTTCTCGAAGCTTCCCTTATTTAACTAAGGGCAGGAACTTCTGAGAAATGAAGACTGCCAGGAATCCTTTATCCAGGAGTACTTTTATGGCCACAAAGAAGACACAAGGTCAGTATCAAGATAGTCCTGCACAAACTTTGCAAAATAAACTTTATCTTCCGTGAGTTTCCCCTTATGTTTACCTTCCCACAATTTACCACCCCTAGAAGTATGAAACTCTTTCCCTTTGTCCTGTCAGTGCTCCACACATTTATTTCACTTTGTTAACATGGAACACAGGACTCTATGTCTGTCTGCATCTTTGGGGTTTTCATGTCATTTCTGTGAGCCACCCCACCCACTCCCAACTGTAGTATGCATATGAAATAAACCTTTTTCTCCTGTTCATCTGTCTTTTGTCAGTTCAGTCTGCAGGTCCAGCTCATTTTTAATGTTGTTCAAATCTTCTATAATCTTATCAACCTTCTGCCTATATACTGTATCAACTATTGAATGAGGGGAATTAAAATCCCCAACTATTATTGCTGAATTATCTGTTTTTTCTTTTTATTCTGTCAGTTTTTGCCTCCTGTTGCAATTTTCTCCTAAAATCTATTTTGTCTGATATTAGCATAGCTGCTCGCGCTCTCTTATTGCTGTTTGTGTATCTTTGTCCATTATTTTACTTTGACAGCTTTATGGAGACATAATTTACAAATCACTCAACTCATCCATTAAGGCGTGCAGTTCAGTGATTTTTGGTACATTTCCTTATTGACTTTTAAAATTGTAGTAAGATACATTTAACATAAAGTTTGCCATTTTAGCCATCTTTAAGTGTACAGTTCAGTAGTATTAATTGCATTCAAAATGTTGTGGAATCTTACCACTATTTCCAAAACTTTTTCATCACTCCAACCAGAAACTCTGTAATTATTAAGCAACAACTTTCCATTCCACCCTCTCCCTGACCCCTGTCATGTATAATCTACTTTCTGTCTCTATGAGTTTGCTTATTCTAGATATTTCATAGAAGTGGATTCATACACTATTTGTCCTTTTGTATCTCACTTATTTAACTTAAAATACTGTTTTCAAGGTTCATCCACGGTGTGGCAAGTGTCAGATCTTCACCTCCTTCTATGACTGAATAATATGCCTTTGCATGTATACACTACATTCTGTTTATCCACTCATTCATTGATGGACAGTTGTGTTGTTTCCACCTTTTGGTTTTTGTGAATAATGCTGCAGTGAACATTGGTATACAAATATGTGTCCGAGTCCCTGTTTTCAATTCCTCTGATATGTACCTTGAGCTTTCAGCATTTGACCATGATGTGTCTGAGTGTAGAACTTATTTCAATCTCTAAGGGTTTATTAAGCTTCTTGGGTAGGTAATGTTTTTCGTATTATTTGGGACGTTTTCAGCCGCTATATAGTCAACATTTTTCTGCTCTTCTCCCTCCTT